TGCTGAATAGACAGTTTGCATGCAAAAGGGGTCACAGTTTTACAACACTTATGACTAGAGATCTGAACACAGTTGAACACAGTTCTTGTCCACAACACGAACTGTGTAGTGAGTTGGAGAAGTCAACAATGTATTATTCATGTTTGAAGTTACATAGCTAGAGTTGTGTAAAACTTATAGAGTTTGTAGACATATCTCTAGAAACTAGAAGATCTTCGCTTGCATTTGGGATTTATAATATTACTTTACTGGTTATACAATCAGTTTGTGCACAAGCTGTAAAAAGGTGGAACCCAAGGGGTTAAAGTGATATTGATTAATGTTCTCTACCAATTCTGCTAAGAGACTTTGTCAAATCTCTTTCCAAAATTGTGCCAGAAGCTAATTGATGACCACAAAAAATGTGTAGTCATATGATATTTGAAAATTCTCTTGCTAAAAGGCTTTCCTAGAGGACATCAGAACATGTAGTCTTAGCCATGATTGACAGCAGCACACTGACACTGTTACACAAACATGGCAAGCGCAGAGCAATCCTGTTGATGATAGTTTTGCAAAGGAGCAGTGGGCGGTGCATCACCAGAGACTGAGGAAATTTGAGGAAGAGAGGAAAGTCTTGTGTAGGAGCTCAGCAGCCCTGAGCTATACACGTTTTAGCAGCTGGCTCAGAGATTCTGTGAGGTTGCTTCCTCCTTCCACAAAGGTGGCTTTCAAGGAAACCATCAATAAACGTCTAAAGCAAATACTCCTGATAAACAAAACAATACATTTTAAGTCTTGTGACCAAATGACAAAAGAATAATAACAAATCATTATTTAAAAGTTTAGAAGAGGTATGAGGCACTTAGGAGGAAAGTCTGTGATAAAAAAAATTGCCATGAGGGTTTGGCCTGAATGGTCTTTGTCAGAGCAATGGTTAAATTTTTGTCAGTCTGCTGTGTTAGTTAAAAAGACAATCGAAGACAGCTGTCTCCTTCAGTTTTAATTAGACTGGATAGATGATGCAGACTTGTTTTTATTTAATTTCAGTGCATTCACAATTTTTTTGTTTCATGTTCATTTTTCTACAAGGCCTCCTCCTAATAGGACATGGAACACCTTCCAAGGGAGGCAACCAGAAGGCATCAGGAGTAGATTCCAGAGCCACCTCAGCTGGCTACTTTCGACATGGAGGAGCAACGACTCTACTCCGAGCTCCTCCCGGGTAAATGTGCTCCTCACCCGACCTCAAAGGGTGCGCCCAGCCACCCAGTGAAGGAAACTCATTTTGGCTGTTTGTATTTGCGATCTTGTCCCTTCGGTCGTTAACCAGATCTCATGACCATAGGTGAGGGTGGGAATGTAGATCGATCGAAAAGCTTTGCCCCCTGACTCAGATCCATCGTTACCACGACAGTCCGATACAGCTACTGCATCACTGCCAACACCGCACCGATTCGTCCATCAATCTCGCGCTCCATCTGTCCCTCACTCGTGAAATAGGCCCCAAAATACTTGAACTCCTCCCTTCGAGACAAAAAGACTGCTTAGGTCAGTTCTGAATTAAATTACATCCCAAACAAAAATCAGACGTCATAACTAATTTCAAAAAAATTTTAGTCTGAGGTGGGCACAAAACAGACAGTGTTTGACACAAAACCAGGATTTTCAACAAATTATCTGTAAACTGTCAAAATAAGGCCTGTCACTTGTAGACAATAGTAAAGACATCTACTTATACAGTTTATAAACAAAAACAAAAGTGATGGGTTGAGTAGTGCTTTGATTAATCTTACAACAAAAACTTACTTTTTTATAATGACAAACTCTTTAATTTTATTGTACTTTAATCTGACTTTCATATTTACACTAGGCGAGAATAATCTTCATATGAATGTTTGACTTTGGTGTAAAATTTACTTTAAATCACATTAAATTTCATGCTAATCATTGTAACTTGTCCTTTAAAAAGAAATGCTTCTTGTGGAGCAACTTTATTATTACCTTTTTTAATGTAGAAAGACTTTAAATGGATCAGTGGACAGATTTTTTTTCTCGTTAAAGGGAAGTTTTTCCTTTCCACTGTCACCTTATACATACTTGTGTGAGGGATTGCTGTGCAATAAGTTGAGGCAATCAACTGTTGTTTTTTCTCAAATAGAATAATTTTAACCAATCTTACTGCATGATATGACTGAATTGTCTCTGTAAAGCGTCTTGAGCTTGCTATATGAAACTAAATTAACATCTCTGTCGGATAATGCCTCCCACCCCATGCATGAAGCTGCTGCAGAGATGGAAAGCTCCTTCAGTGACAGACTGCTGCACCCTAAATGCACCAGGGAGCGTTATCACAGATCCTTCCTCCCAGCAGCTGTAAGACTTGTTGCTGCTGTCATATTGCACACCTCTAATGTTGCTGCTATTTTCAAATATCCATTACTGTAAACATGTCCACAGCTTTATATTGGTTATTTATTCTCCAGGTGCACATTATTTATATTGTTAAAGTATTTTATTAGTTTATTTTTTAACTCTTCACTATTATGTTATCCCTATACACTTTTCTAATGTCTTCATTTGTGTGACCATTTTTTCTAAAATCATTTTGTTGCTGTAAACACCAGAATTTGCCCATTGTGGGACAATAAAGGGATTTTTTATTCTATTCTATTCTATTCTATTCTATTCTATATAAATACTCTGAATTTAATTGAACTGGATGTAAATCCAACTAATAGCTTAAAGTCAAATATGTAAATGTTTTATATTATAATTCGGAGCCACAGGAGGATTCGCCGCGTCTAACAACTTTTTTCTCTCCACCAGCTCTGTGGAAGCCTGTTGCTCTGCCGCGCATGCGCACTACAGCGGTATGCGAAACGAAGAGGAAACCAACATTTTTAGAGCTCCGTCACTGATGCAACAATTTGTTCCCGTCTTGGTTCTCTAGGAATAACTGGATACATCGGTCTGGTTTAAGGCTAGGACGTGAATTGAAGAGGTAGTTATCCCAGATACCCACACTTTTATGTTTAAATCGAGTTTTTTTTTTTGCTTTAGAATCGGGTTAGTGAAGAAGGAGGTCTGGGCGTGTGTAAATCTCGAGTGTTATTGACACAGACTGCCTCCGTCTCTTTCAGCCCAGTCTGGATGCTAGCTTCGAGTAGCCTCTGCATGCTGTTACTTGTTTAAGTTGTGCTTTAGTAGGGCGATAATTTGATTTATTTCGGGGGGCAGGTGAGAAGAAGATGGGGTGTACTTTGAGCACGGACGACAAGGCGGCGCAGGAGCGGAGCAAGATGATCGACAGAAACCTGCGGGACGACGGAGAGAAAGCTGCCCGGGAGGTCAAGCTCCTGCTGCTGGGTAAGAGAAAGATGGATGGATGGATGGATGGATGGATGGGTGTGTTAACGGAAGACGGACGCTGATCTTAGCTTTTGCATGTTGGAGATTATACAAAGCTATTTGACACGTTTTATGTAACGTTCACTAATAGCACTTTTATTTGTCTGTTAGCGAGGCTAAAGAAACGGGATTTATTTGTGGTTTTTTAAAACATGAAAGGAATAGTCGTTGTTCTTTCAGCTAAACTTTAGGTCGTTCCCGTTATGCCCCCATCTTAACAAATTAAAATTTGCTTTTAGTCACTAATAGCGTGTTTATTTTGGCTGGGAGCGTTTTTATCCCCCATTAAGTCTGTAAGCCAATTTAACTGTAAGATAATTAGCTGCTTTAGCGGCGATAGCATGGATTAGTTAGCCATCAGGAAGCTATAACGTCCGATCTGCTGTCTGGACTGTTGGGGTGGTTCACGCTATAATCGTTATATCGGAGGTTTTCTGAACGGCACGTAAACGAGGTGGAAAATAACGTAAAATGCCGTAAAGAGTAGAGTTATAAATTAGATAAAATCTTTTCAGTTATGCTGCTTAACAAGTCTGAATACATTCCAACTTCAAAATATGAGCTTTTTGCCTTGGAATGCAGAGGAAAAAATAGATCAATTACGTCAAAAAAAAAATAAATAAAATAAAAATACAATACACAATGTTGTCTGAAAGAGTAGTAAATCTAAATTAAACCCATTCAAAGTAATAGTAATTTCTTTCAAACCTTTTTCTCGGACTGTACCATGAAGCATTTAATTAAAAGTTTGATGAAATATTTGGATGTTATAGTCATCCAGCAGTGTCTTCAAATTGACATTTATTTACATCAAATGTCAAATTTCTACCATTTTAAAAATCACCGCATCAAGTTGGGAAATGTAACCCTTTTTTCCTGTAAATCCTATTTTGGAAAATATAAAAAATGCTTAATCAAATATTTGCACTTTCAAACGACTAGATGGCTCATACATTTTACATATCAAAAATTTACCCACACTTTAGATATACTGCCATAACATCAGTCTTTTTTCCATTACCAATTTTGAATATCCACATTTTAGAAAAAACAAACAAACTGATAAGCACAAAGATGACCTGTGAATACTCAAGGATAGATTTTCCTTAGAGCGAACAGAACCATGGGATTTTTAAAACACAAACATGTAAAGAAAGCAGTAGACAATCCTCTTTATTTCCTAATACTTTATGGTCTCTTAATGCAGTTGCAGTTTACATATTTAAAGCCTGGCAACTGTGGAAACCTTTTTGCATAGATTAAAAATGAGCATTTGTATTGACACATTTTAAAATGTGTCGTAAACTGTTCCAAGACTTCTACATTGCTCGATTCAGTAAAAATATAAATATATATTGTATGAAAAATACAGAAGGAACCCTGTACCTTCTAAAAGTGCATTCATAATGAGTATAGTTCAGGATGTCAAACTTCAGTCATTGAGCACTGCTGTAACACAACTTTTACATGTGTCCCTGATTCAGCTCATCTAAAACTAATACCTGAATCACTCCCTCAGCTTGCAGTCAGTCGGTCATTCTAATGACATCAAAAACTTGCAGTGCAAAGTCGCTAATAAATTGCAAAAAAAAAACACCTGTGTTATGAATAGTATTATAGTTGTGTTGTGGTTCTTTACATGGACAATATATTTAACTAATTTTATCTATATTTGTAATCTTCAAGAACAGGCATTAGCTGTACCAAGTATCTACCAAAAGTTTTAATATTATCCAAAAGCTGAAATATTCTGCAACTTCTGATGTGATGGCCGTTGAACAATCTGCACAGTATTAGAAAAAAATTATATTGGGAAACTTTTGTTAAACTCTGTGTTAATGATATCCACGTACTTCTCACTCTGTCTTTCAGTAGTTTTCATTATCATGCTTCTAACTCTCTCTGTGATAGTTGGTGTCAGTTCAGAAGTGGGCATCCACTCTGTGTATCAGACAAAGTATATAATCAGCCAAGAAAAGCATCAGTTCTTGGAGTTGGAATATAATTGCCATTAGTATTGCTTTCCAAACAGCCTATATTGACTATTATAGTAATGATATGGTGGAGGATATGAGATGTATTTGGCAGCCCTATTAGACAGATGTTATTTATTAAAGGGTGGGAACCAGTAGGTTTGTATTTCAACCCAACCCATTTGAATATATGTAAAAATATCTTACTTTTCATTGCATTCACTAACTGCACCTAACTCTCATATATATTAATACATACATTTGTTCCTTCATTATTCCAAGCCTTTAACAATCATTTAAAATAAGGATATTGTGAAGTAAAATAATAATTTTTGCTAATTACAAAAACAAGTAAAGCAAAAAAATATATAGGAAAGAACAATCAGCTAAAAACAATTTTCTTCTTTCTACCTCTAATATTTTATTAAAAGAATGTAAAGAAAAAGACATGGCTGCAAATATTCTATGTTTTTTTGTAAGTTTATCTTTTCTTGGAAATTATAAACGTCACCTTTCCAAGTATCTCATGTCTGATATGTGTTGCAGCATAGTTACAGGGGTGCAAGTTGCACTGCCATATGCTCCTGTTATTATAGCTCTCATATAAACTGCAGGCTCCCGGTCATTTCACCTCTTGGGTGAAATATAAATAGAAAAGTGGCAGTTCAGGTGTTGCCTTTTAATCTTCTGCTTCCTTTTGGACCTGGAAAAACTCTGGCATTTATAAATGGGTGTTTTTATCAGTCCTAGAGATGCATAGTCTTGGAGAAAATCTGGTGTTTTATTCATGCAATCCATCTGAAATTGTCTTAAATTCATGTTCAATAATTTTTGGAGAAAAAAGGTGGAGCTCATTCAGACTCCTTTGGGTATCCATTTTTTGTTTTTCTGAAGGTAAGTGCAAGAATTTGACAGGTGTGAGTTTATGTGGATGAACATTAGCAGGTTGCCATGGTTTGTTTACCTTCGCATCTTGGTCTCCTACACAATAGGTAGAATGTTATCGTCTTACTAACTAACCCTGATTGTTGGAATCACCCCTTTGGGTTGAACAGAGGCAGGAGTGATAAAAGCAAGGGGGGGGGGGGGGGGTGTCAATCCTGGAAGTTTTTGGAAAACTTCCAGGATTGACATCAAGGAGGAGGACCAAAATCGTTTTTTGTCGAGAGAGCCCCTTGTGGACTTGTCTGGTTTGAACAATGAGCCCATTAAATGAAAAATAAAAAAACTCTTGCACTGTATATTTTCTAGCATATATTCCAGATGATGAAGACTTGAAAAATATCTCCATTTACTTTGCATGTGATCTGCTTACGTTGACCCCTTTGAAATATGGGCCATGACCTGAAAAAAAAGCTACCTGCTACTATGTGGTATTATAAAAAAAAACAGATCCTATTACCATATTTTCTTATGAAGACTATAATAGAAAAAAATAAAAAAATAAAATTATTTCCTGCTGTCTTCCAACAGTTTCCAAAGTGAGCTCAGAGGGTCAGAAACAATTAATAAATTGGCACCTTGTTACTAAGAAATGCTCTGTCCTCACCTTTTATCTAAAAGTTTGGTATGAAATGACCTGGGGAAAGTATCAAATGGCAAAAAGGAGAAACTGTTTCTTTCAACAACTTGGAATTTTTTGTTAGAAATACTTCCACTGGTGATAGTTTACAGAGATCTCTTTTTTTCCCTGTAATTTGAAGGTTGATTATGACTGAGGATGGAAAAAATTAATATATATTCTTATTTGATTTTATTTCAGTTAAATAAAATCTTTGTAAATAGTACTTTTTCACACCTTTCCTAATAGCTCTTATTCCTCTATTGCCTGTCTGTATAGATGAACGCGGCCCAGGTTGCATAGCAACATTTGAGTTGTGGCGGACAGCGGTAGTCATCTGTCACAACTTCAATTACACGAAAAAGACGGCAAACAGTGTGATTGAGCTCTGTAACGTGCTGCTGTGTTGTTTTTGCATTATCAGCGGCATTAATTGTGGTTAATCTCTGCTTTTCAGTCCTGTGTTTCGTCTAATGCTGTACGTTGTTGACCTGCTGATGGCTTATGTAAGCGTGTGTGCACCTCATTTGCGACAAGGATTTGAATTTTAATGGTGGTGTGTGTTTTTTTTTTTTTTTTTTTTTTTTTCCATCAGCATTCCAACAATCGCCAGCAACACTATATGCCTTTCAGTTGTGGGTTTGTTATTTGAATTTAAACTTATTGATGTGTTTAATGGCAGATCTAGGTGTATGTTTTTTTTTTTTTTTTAATCAAGCTCTGTCCAAATTTTCTAAACTAAAGCGCGTGGCAGTGTTTAAAAAGAAAAAAGACGTTGAATCAGCCCAAAAGAGGTTGATTTTCTTTCAAAATATTTGATTATTAATGTGTGGGTTACTTCTACTTGACCGAAAAGAAAAGAACCGAGTTCTTTTCTATAAACATAAAACTTGAGATTATTCTGACTTTTACAATAATTGGTTTCTTCAGTGCACTTGAAATCTAGCAACAGCAGTAGGCTTCCAATCTGTGATTGCAAATTAATATTTTTTTCTTGGGTAATAATACCTCTATTGCATGTGGGCTGTTTATCATGTGGGACGATGAATTGCAAAACACTGTAACTCACCTGGGAGCCGAGAGTCCCCGCAGAGGCAGTATAATTAAAATGTTGTGTGCTCAGCTTAAACACGTCTGTATCTCAGAGGGACAGCATACAAAACGCTTTAATGGCAAATTCAAAGTGGATATCAAAGATGATTCACTTTGTTTCATGTTTAAATTTCTTATTTCATGATTTGCTTTCATGCACTGAGCTGTGATATTAGTATGATGTTGTTTTATAGTCCGTTCAGTTTGATAATGTGAGCGGCTGTAACCCAGATTAGTGTAAGCCGTGTGTAATCTTGTTGACAGGAGGATCGGGATGATTAATCCAATTGCTCTGAGATCGCTCTAAACTGGACCTTTAAACACCTTTTATATTGTGTTTTTGTACATTCCTAATAAACTTGCATTTTCTAGCAGAGTTTGATGACTTCTAAACACCAAGCTCAGTTTTTTTTAATCTGAACTGTAGGGTTTTACTGTTGACGGTTTGTTTTCTGTAGTCTATTTTAGGACTATCTAGCTTGTGGCTTTTGCTCTGATAATTATCATCCAAAAGGGCAAACCTGTGACCTATTTTTCAAAGAGGAACTGTACCACCTGAAGGGAATGGAAACCAGTACAGGGATGCAGAGTGTTTTCCAAATTTGAGGGCATGATTTTACTGCAGGCTGCTGGATGCAAATAATGGTCGCTGCACTCATTAAATTTGCAGGTAGATATTCATGTTTCAATTGAAAGGTTTGTTTATGTGTAGTAAGTTATTGTGTGCAGTAGGGTGTTGTGTATTTGGAATATAAGCACGAAAGGCAAATTCCATTTTAGCTTTTAGATGAGATGAAAGCATCATTTGCCAAGATGTCACACATTTTGGCCCATTCTGCCGGTTAATATTTCACTCAAGTTTTTTTATGTTCAGGTTTGATCCATCTGCTGTAGAAAACAGGTCGTAGCTAAATTCTTAAGTATTATTATTGTCTTCTTCATGTTTTCTTTAAACTAGATGAGCCTGCAAAGCTTATGCTGTGTATTTGAAGTTTAATGGTAGTGATTCTCTACCTTTAAATAAAAGTTTCATACTCTTACCGGTTTTCAAACAAAAGAATTAAAATGCTAAAACATAAACTCCTAGTTAAATAACATTATCAGAGGTGCAGGTTTATTATCTATTTGTTTAATCTCAGTTTTGTTTATGTAAGCCTGGATTCATCCAATACTCTGGTATAAATATGAAATTAAGCAGTGAATTTCAAGTAAATAAGCTCATCAGCAGGAACATTAAGAACATTTCAGCTGTTGAGTTTCATACTAAAATAATACTAGCTGGTTGTTTCATTGAGCCGTTTGCCCTATCGCACCCTTCAGCCAGCTGACAGGCAGTGCAAAGCTCCAAGAGGGGAAGACGGAGAGTTGCCTTGATCTATCTCCACAAACCAGAGAGGACTCTTCTCACTCTAATACTTTATTTGGCATCTTAATAAAAAGGCTTTAATTAAACTGGTGTGCTAGAAATAGGTATGAAACCGTAATCTATTGAAAGCTTGGCTTACGGGCCCCATGGCTCGTATCCTGCAGCAAATATAACTGTCCTAGCATCATTTCCACAGCCTTAATATAAAATGCACAAAACCATAATAGCATTATAATTTGTTGAAAATTGAAAATATGCCTTAAATGGAATTTGTTTATAATACATAATACGCATATAATATAATGTACATTGTTTCCTTTTCAGGTGCTGGAGAGTCTGGGAAAAGCACGATTGTGAAGCAAATGAAGTAAGTTTAACTTAGACTTTATGATATATTATAAAAAAAGGAAACTTTATATGTATAACTTATGGTGAGGATCTTTGTGTCAAATCAGGTCTGTACATGATTGTTTTTCTATAGAGCAGACATGAATTTTTTGTTAAACTTCAGGAATTGGATCCAGCCCCTCAGTTAATCAACCAAAGTCAAAGGGGAACGTTTTATGTAATTTGACCTTCAAACAAAAGCAACTTTTTATTTGCTGTTTGAAAACATTCATCTTGATGTAAAATGGGACTAACAAAAATACAATTATTATAGTTCTGTTTACACAGGTTTGTAACATAAGACATAATTCTAAGACATGACTGGTTCATGTAAGCATAAAATACATTATGAGATAACAAAGTATATAAAGAGACGCAGGATTATGTCTTAAATGTTTCAAGGGTAAATTATGCACTTGGCTTTCTCTAAGAGCTATGTTTGTTAATAATTACAGTATGCTTTTGTATTAGAAATGATTACAGAGGGAAAATACAGTTTTAAATTGGAGAACAAATAATCGGGGCTTGGTGTTGCAGTGATGAATATTGATTTTTAAATAGGAATCTGCTAGAACTAATGTGGCCCTCACTGGTTACCATACTGTCTGAGCTCAGTGACTTAATGAGAGAAACACGATGCTCTGCTAAAGATTTATTTTTTTTTTTTTTAGATAAAGTGCATATTAAACTGTTACATTAGTGTACATATTCATTTTAGTGAAGGTTTTTATGCTTTTTAAGCATTTGCCTGAGAAAAAAAGTATTTTTCTGAATTGGAAATCTTTTTAGCTGAAGAAACCCAATTTCAGGAGTGTTAAAGATTATATGAAATTGTGGTTCGTATTCTTTGCTTTTGCTGCCCCCAAGTGGTCAGTTAAGTTTCTAATTAAACCCATAGCTCAAAAAAGTAAAACTTCCATTGTTTTCTTTGTTTTACAATTTCTAGCATTATAATCCTCCATGTTGGACAAAGTTTCTCACTATGAACCCTTAAGATGGCCAAATTGAAGATTTGTTTTTAATAAAGTGGTATAAACGCCTCAAATTCCGTTTCAGAACAATCTCCAATTGTTTTATAGAATCATCCACGAAGCTGGCTACTCAGAGGAGGAGTGTAAGCAGTACAAGGCTGTGGTCTTCAGCAACACCCTTCAGTCCATGATGGCCATCATCAGAGCTATGGGACGCCTGAAGATTGAATTTGCCGATTCAGCAAGAGCAGTGAGTTCAATTCCTCTGTTAGAATATATTCACTTTACAGCTGATCCTCGCTCAGCTGGCCAGAGATGCTCCTGAGGCGACTCTGAACTTTTGTAGCTTTGGTTCCTAAAATGTGGAACAAGCTGCTTTTAAATATCATGGAGACTCCATGTCTTTTACTCTTTTAAAATAAACCCTTTCTACTCAGCTTTTAACACAATGCCAGGAGATTTGCTCTGAGTTGTTAAAAAGTAGATGATTTTCATTGTCAGTCACTCTGATTTTGTTTGTAGGAGAGAAGAATGTTGGCAAAGCAGAAAGTGATTAAAAACACTCAAAATAAATTTGAAAATATATAAGAACATTAAAAATATATTTAATTGTTTTAAATGATACTTAAACTTAACTTGCATAAATCAAACTAATTATAACATCAGATCAAATGAAGTTAGCAAGGCACAGGCGGCAAGGAAAGCAAGCGTCTGGGGCTGTGTGTGTTTCAGAGAAAAGAAATGATACTATTATTATAGTAACATTACCTCTGTAATCCAGGTGGGATCAGCAGCAACTTTGCATGTTTGAGTCATTTGTAATGTGGAAACAAAGAGGAGTATCCACTCCACTCTGACTGCAGGCAAGGTTTGCTGCATGACAAAGGTGCTGTCAGACTCTCCAAAAACAGAAGGTCGCCAGATTTGTTGCATTAATAATAAACAAAAAGTAGAGATCAACTGATGCAGATTTTCTTTGGCTGTTCTGATATCGATTATTTCCACATCAGTCTCACTCAGGCATGCCCAGAATCTGTCCTCCAGGGCCGCTGTCCTGCAGGTTTCAGAAGTCTCCCTGATTTAGCACAGCTGATTGTGATGATTGCAGTACAGCAAAAGTCTGTTAATCAGCTATCAGTGAAATTCAGCTTTGCTGAATGAGGGAAACCTCTAAAACCTGCAGAAAGGCGGGCTTTGAGAGCCGACTTTGGGCATACCTGGTCTAACTGATCGCAGATATGTGCTGCCAATATTTTTGAGCCAATTCTTAGAGCTGGTATTGCAATTTCTTTTCTACATTTACATGATTAAAATGAAACTGATAATAAAATGTCTCAATTCTCAACGTAAACAAAAGACACTTAATAAAAGAAGCAAACACACACACAGCGTGTAACAGAGGGAAGGAGCAGGCATAGCTGCTCTTAGGACATGAATCTGGAAAATCCAAACAACCTAATATAGGGCAAAAATGTCAGCCGGCTGATACATCTGTCTCTAAAAAAAGCCGCTGGATGCATCTGAAAAGTTGTTGAATGTAGCAAAATGGTCACTAACTTTTTTTACAATGCGAATACTATCTAAAACCATTTTCTGCTCCATGGCAGTTTTATTCCTGCTTTCTCTCTTCCATTATGTTTGGCTGTTAGTTTGACTTTTCAGATCTTTAAAAAGCACACTAATAGCTGGTTCTTATTGAACCTCAGTGCTGCCTGTCCCTTTTCTCTTCTGTACCTCATTAAACAACATTAGATGAAGTGGATTTGACAAACTAAAAAGTTGCTCGTTGATGAGATGTTACTGTCCAATAATTGGTGTTAAGAAGAAATCCTCTCTGTCAGGAAAGATCGGTTCTACAGTAATAAAATAATACTCTCCTTGCTTTCTAAATTCTGCTCAGATTTTTCTTCTTCCTCTCTTGCAGTTGATTTATTTGTTTGCTCCGCTTGACTAATTTCACTCACAAATCATGACCTCATTAAAGACCAGACCATTTTCTTTCTGACCATATTGCCTTAATATGTTTATTTGTTGCTGGTATTTCAAACCCAGGGTTTCTACACAAACGCTTGACCCATGTACAGAGGCTTTGGTCCCCTTGGCTGTTGTGGGTTTGAGTCATGGTCTTGTGACCTTTGCTGCATGTCTTCCCCCTCTTTCTAGTTCCAGTAGCCAGTTCCTGTCTGCCTACTTTGAAAAATGACAAAATAAAAGCAACTAGTGCCTAAAAAATAACTTAAAAAAACCCAAAGGAATTTGATTTTTAGTAAATATCAAGTCTTGATAAGATGAACATAATTCAGTTTCCAATACCATTTGCTCTCTGAAAAAAAGGACCTTGGTTTAATATTTGTTTGAATTAGGGCACACTATCAGTGAAGGGTGTTTATCATATTGTTGCTGAATGTTGAGATGGCTTTATGTGTTTATTTTATCAAAGCATTTCTTTGCCAGCAGGAAAACATGAATGAGTCTTACATAAGTAATTCTCCTTGATTGTCTACTGACATATTTTGAGTTGTTTTTTTAATTTTTTTTTTATTGTAGCTGAATCATGCTAATGTCGTATTGGTCAGTGCTGAGACAGCAGGGCTGCAATATAGGATATCCTATCAATTCATTGGTCGTTCCTAGCAGAAAAACACAGTTCAGTGTTAAAATTAAGAAAGTATTTAAATTAATGTTGTCTAGATTCCAGAATTAACAACAAACCAGTTCCTGATCACACTACACTATTAGGAGCCTCTTTACACAAACAGGCTTAAGATGTCTTTTAATCGCTTGGATGATTATGGAAAACAAACTATTTTTCCAATTCATTATTTTTTCAAAGGATGACGCTCGACAGCTGTTCGCCCTTGCGAGTACAGCAGAAGAAGGTGTCATGACACCTGAGCTGGCTGACGCAATCAAGCGGCTCTGGAAGGATGGAGGGATTCAGGAATGCTTCAGCCGCTCCCGGGAGTACCAGCTCAACGACTCTGCAGCATAGTGAGTTGATCCCACCCAACCATCCAAACTAGCCGTCCTGGGACTGCTATGCTAACTGACCCCCTTGTTTATAAACTATTATCTCTTTAGCTACTTAAATGATCTGGAAAGATTATCTGCTCCTTCTTACGTCCCGACCCAGCAGGATGTGCTGAGGACCAGAGTGAAAACCACGGGTATTGTGGAAACACACTTTACCTTTAAGGACCTGCACTTCAAGTGAGTACTACTATAGCAGGGGATTCTTTTTCAGTTTTTCTTTTCGTTTGACCTTTTCTTTCCTCCTGTCTGGATTTTATTTCAGTCGGCAGTTTGCGTTTTGTTAGATGACTTCTAATAACTTCTTATTATTTTTTTTTTTTATCGAATTCCTGGGTTTGTTTGGGGAAGTTTTTTAAAATGATGAAACTGATAACCAATTCCTAGAATCTGTGTTTAATCTAATATAGATCAGTTCATTTTTTTTTTTTTTTTTCTAGACCAAAGTTTGTAGAGAGGCTGAATTAAAAATGACAAGTATCCTAAAGCTTCCGCTGAATCTTAATCTATACTAAACTAGGTGGGTATTTTGCGCTCAGTAGCTTGGTCAAATGTACCCTTTGAAGGTATTAAAGAGGATTTTTCTCAGAAATTATGTGTCCGGATTCATATAAAATAACTTAATTGATGGCTGGCGTTCTTGCACTTCTTTTTCTCCCAATAACATATTAAAATTCATAAACTGGCCGTGGTGGTGCCTACAAAACCTGATCTAATCCACTTTGCCTGCTGTCGAAAGCCGATTGGCTACTTGTTTGTCATTCAAACATTTTGCGTATGTGCCACCATGACGTTATTTACATAGGCTCCAAGCGTAACCCATACGCTGTTTGGCAGAAGAAGCAATCCTACGCACATAGGATCACTGCTCCGGCTTTTTTTTTTCTTTAGCTATTTATTCACTGTTTTTGTGTAAACTGGAGCATCAATGGCTGAAAAGAATCCTGACAAACCGCAAATATTTGTGGAAGCTAGGGTAATTAGAAAGAAGGTTAGCATTAGCTTTAAGGATAGAACTTCTCTAATAGTAAAAAAAATGATTTTATGTGGTCGACATTAAACAGCGGCATGGTTGATTCTCTGAGCTGAACAGCACTGCTTGTGAGGCCATGCAGTCTGGCACGCTAAGGGTTAATTTGCACCAAAATCTTTATTCCATTTTTCTATAACTGTCTGCTTCTTGCTGCTCCTACATTCATCGGTGCGTCTCTGTGATGTTAGGATGTTTGATGTTGGTGGACAGAGGTCAGAGAGGAAGAAGTGGATCCATTGCTTCGAGGGAGTCACTGCCATCATTTTCTGCGTGGCGATGAGCGACTACGACCTGATGCTGGCTGAAGATGAGGAGATGGTAGGACTGGGTGGCTTCGGTTTGCTCTACCCTCTTTAATGCTTCAAGTCATTTACCCAGCCTCTCTCCTCTCTGTCAGAATCGGATGCATGAGAGCATGAAGCTGTTTGACTCCATCTGCAACAACAAGTGGTTCACAGAGACCTCCATCATCCTGTTCCTCAACAAGAAAGACCTGTTTGAGGACAAGATCTCCAAGAGTCCTCTGACAATCTGCTTCCCAGACTATGAGGGTGAGTTTAAAAACCTCTCCATTCAGAGCAGAGGTCCTACCTGCAAAAATGTCCTTTCCATCTGTCTCCATCTTCATCAATTACTGATAAAGTATGAAAGAACAACTCATGAAGGAGATCCAGGCAGTTTTTCTACATTATTACAAAATAAAATCAAAGATGTGACCAATAAATATCTGACTTGGTCGCTTCATGTTAATTTAGAATCGGCAACACTAAAGACTCTGGCTTCTATTAAAGCTCTAATATTTTCAAGATGGAACTCCCCCATAAATGGAAACATTCAATCTTTATAAATCAGGCTCCAACAGTTTGACATCTTTAGGAAGGACCTGTGGTTTTAATGTCACGTAAATCCCTTTATTGTCCCACAATAGGGAAATTCCCTCTTTGGATTTGACCCATCCTTTTAGGGAGCAGTGTGCTGCCATTGTGCGTCGCCCGGGGAGCAGTGTGGGGTTAAGGGTCTTACTCAGGAACCCAGAGTGGAGGCTATGGGGATCAAACCCGGTACTCGCAACCTTCCTCAGAGCACAAGCTCTAACCCACTAGGCCAACACTCTCCCAATATGTGCTGTGATCCTGAAAATCCAAGAAAACATCCCTCAACAGTCTTTATTGATGGAATGAGTGTTAAAAAAGTCATCACAGAATCCAGCACTCATTCCGTCACCTAAAGGCCCTGATTACTTTGCTTCCTTTTCTGTTTATTATAAGAATCTAACCTTTATTTCTACAAAAAAATAGGTTTTCCAAGATGAAACATACCTGTCACCTAATTTAAAAAAAAAAGTTTGGTAAAAGATTAAATTAGGGCCTTAAGATGTTAAAATCTGTTCATCTAAATCAATCAGGTAGTTGTAATAATATTAAGCATAGCAAATATGAACTCTTAACTGAGAAGAAATGTGAAAAGATTTTACTGTATTCTTGGATTCTGCAAATACTGCTTTCTCTATTTTATCTATGTAAGGTTTGATTGAAACCTGAGAAGATTTGCTGCAGCTGATGAAGATCTGTACCCAAAAAACAAAGCTAAAATCTGAACAATATGTGACATCAATTAGAAAACGTTGTTTAATTAAAACCAGAGTTTTAAGCTAAAGGATAAAACTGGCTGATCATCCTCTTAGGTGCAGTCTGGTTAAATGTTTCTGTCTTCTTAACTCATGTTAACCTTAGATAATCCACTCTGTGGAACATTTAGGCACACAATCATTCTGTAAGTAGTCTAAACATCACAACTGAAGGAATAAGGCAGCACAAATCAGAACCACATTGCATTTTATTGGTGGCAAATTAGTAAATTAGGAAAGAAGGCATACATTAAAATTCAGTACTATAGGACTGGTACAGTATTTGTATTGTTAATTTGCTGTAAGGAGGCTTCATGTCATAATTGTAATTTTAGGTCAAAACACTTATGAGGATGGTGCAACCTACATCCAGCTCCGGTTTGAGGACCTTAACAAGAGGAGGGACGTAAAGGAGGTCTACACTCATTTCACCTGCGCCACCGACACCAAGAACGTGCAGTTTGTGTTTGATGCAGTCACAGATGTCATCATCAAGACCAACCTGAAGGACTGCGGCCTTTTCTAAAGGTACTGCTAGCTGTTCCAGAGCCCAATTAAAGAACCCCGCCACCTTTACTCCTCCTCACTAATCAGGCTGCTTTCTTTCTGTTCAGGCAGCCAGACGGTCAGCCTGCCAACCCGGACTCAGCGTGGTGGATGGACCCTGATCAGAATGTCACTTTTAACCTTATTAACTTATGTTCATCTCTAAGCGTTTGAAAGATGGTGTGTAGAGAAAACCTTTTCTGTAAGATATTTGTACAACAGTCTATGGCCATGGATTTTTAGAAGTTTTAAAATATGTTTTACTTATTCTTATTTTTTATATAAAGAAGGGGCGATCTTTGCCAGTTCTGGGCCCATAAATGAACATTTGTTTGTTGTTATTGACTTGCTGCATTATAGTTACTGTGTGTAATTTTAAAAAAAATGTAAGTTAATGTAGTTTTTTTTCTTCATTTAACTCTATTAAGTCATCTGGAATATTACACTCTGGGCTTTTTAGCCTCTGTTTTATTATTTTTATCACTCCCATATAAAATAACTGCAGACCTGTTCACTCTGATGCTGAAAAACTGTGAGAGCTGATTGTGTGTCTGTTTTCTGTAAGTGAGTTGGAACTGAAGCCAGATGTCTGTCTGAGTGACTGTGTGAGTGAATGTGTGCACAACAATAAACAAAGGGACTTTTATTCCTCTACTTGTCATCCTCTTTTAAAGTTGTATTTTTCTAAGCTACCAAAAAAAAGCTACTCTCTCATCAATTAGTCCATGTTGTCGGTAAGCTCCTGCTAAACATTCCCGATAAATCATGATGGAAAGAGGATGGCAAAGGTGGCCTTGTAGCAGATTTAGGATCAGACGTAGATCTGTGTTCAGTGCTTAGATATAAAGACAGAAACCTGACTGGCTAGTTGATTAGAGCATTTGATGGTTTCAAGCTTCATATCTTCCCCCTATGAACTGCCCACTCCTTCAGATCTGTTTCTCCATTGTATATGGACATTAGTGGACTAATATCCATGATTTTGCTAATAAAAGAGTTGTTCTGGTGAAACCAGGACAACTTGTGCAACAAAAACACTTGTCTTCATCTTTTTCTTTTTTTTTTCAGCCATAATGAAGTGCCTCTCTGATGTGATTTATTTTTTTAATTATTATTAAATTGTGATATTGCAAATATTAAATGCCCAGCCCTAAAAAAAAAAAAACACTTAAATAAAAACAGTAAAGTTCAAAATTCTCTAGTGGTGAAATTGAATAATTGTGAATTATTCAAAGTGATTTGACTAATTGCACAAAAAAACGAGAGAATCTGAGCTTTATAGCTACAGTGTCGTGTAAGAATGAGTCTGAACTAAAAGACACTGCCAGCGTTTTGTAAAACTCATTCTTCAGATATTTGCCAGCGGAAGCAGCAAAATTCACAACAATAATACTGCGGTTTTATAAAGGAAGATCATGATAAAGTAAATTCACAGAAAGTATAAAGCAAAACCTTTTCCACATTTAAATGATTCAGATTGCTGACTTTTATGGAAATTGCAGTGCTGTTCCCATCATTGGTTCTCTTGTTAATTCCTGTCCTGGGATATAAAATCCAGCCACCTCCACAGCCCCTAATGAGGTTAAGAGAGAGCGGAGGAGAGGTTTTTCCACAATCTTCTCAGTTTCTAGTATTAAACTGCAGGAAGAGGCTTTTGCACCATCTGTCACAACTTCCCCATGCCTGACTTCTCCACCCTGCAGCAGTCTGACTACAACTGAGTTATCAACAAATTTTAGGAAATGAATTTCACTGTAGGCTCTTTTACAGCCATTAGCAGATAAAATAAACCAGGCTGGAGATAGAGTGGGGCCTTTTAGAGAGCTAGTGGGCGACTGCTGTTTAGCTCGCCTGACAGGCTTGTTTTTTAGAAAATTCATCCTCTCATCTTCAGCACGCAAAATTCAACATTAGCTTTTTATGTTAAATGTGTTGCTGTATTAGAAATGAGACAAAATCTGAATGCAAAAACCATAAATCTTTTCCCACACTTTGCCAAATTACAAACTTCCACTTGGATATAGGATTTAATTAGGCCATTCTAACATATATCTAAACCATTCTACAGTAGCTGTATGCTGAAGACCATTGTCCTTCAGGAAGGTGAGCCTCTATTTTGACACTTATGTTGCAGCTTAGATTGTTTTCACTTTTCAGTGTTGACGTGCATTTATCTACATCTCTCAAACATCTTTGTACCATTGGTATGTCGCTGCCACCATCTTTCACCATGGAAATAAACTTTTTACTGCAGGGTTAGTTTTCCACCACATTAGATGGAAAAGGTTTGATCTTAATCTCTTCTGACTAAAGCTTAATCTTTTGTGTGTTTGCTTCATTTCCTTCTTTAACAGAAAGTTCAGTTCAAATTAATTCTCCTTATTTAGTTAATCTGCAATAGTTGCAGTTTCTGTCCTTTTTAAATAATTTAATTCAAATGACATAACCCCTCTCCAAAACCTTATTACTTACCTGTCTTATATATGTTGACAACTCTTCACAGAATAAAGGGAGCTGAATTCAAATACATTCCACACTTTTTAAGATTCAGTGTTTGTCACCTGAGGAACAAAAAGGTCGGATTTGACTTCCGCTTTGCAGTAATCCTTAACCTTTCCTTGAGTTTTTATTATGCTGTGCCATTAGTTGTTTTGTCCAGCATTCTTCTCATGTATTAAAACAGGAAAAAGTCAAATGTCGACATCTAGTGGACAATGGGAATAACTGCATGCAAAGATGAAGGCTGATGATTAGTTGATGGTGTTAAAGATGACTGGCAAGTGTGACTAATTCTAAAATAATTGCATTTTCTTGAGAAACAGTTAAAGATCTTTTACGTAAAATGTTGTTTAAAAATATATTTTAATCTTTTAAAGATTAAAGTCCCAATATTCATGACATCAATAAAACATTAAAAGATAATAGTAGGGTTAGAGAACATCTGACCTAAATCAGCCTTTGTTTGCTATTTTAAAGACACTCTGATGATTTCAACTATTCTATTTTTCAGACACAGTTGAAGGAAGAGTGGAGACTATTTTTGGTGAGGATTTGTGTGATTTTTAAAAGCTAATTGCATAGTGATTTAGTTAATCCCTAAAGCCCTTCCAGTCAGATCAAATGGTGTGAATCTGAAGCCTCTTTAAAGTGAAGGTGTGATTGTGAGAACAGAGTGATAATAAGAGGATAATGATGAAATTAAGGATTTTGATCCAAAAGTGTCTTTTCAGACTACCTCTGCAGTGAAAATCTACTGTCATCTGTTTTCTTTTCTTGTGTTTCGCTCATGTACAGCACAACTAATTGTCTTGCTACTGAAAAGGGATACTAAAATGTCCTTGCCTTACAGCTAAAGTATAATACTGAATAAAATCGGATTAAATCTTAGAAGAAACCATTGACCTCTACAAATTAACATGCTTGAAGTGTCAGTGTTGATTATTCTGAGGATCCTCTAAAAAGGTCCCTTTATCTTGTTACTTTTACAATGGAAACTATACTAAATTGTGCCTGTATGAAGAAATGACTCGGCATAAGTTAAGACTGCATAGAAATGCATTTCCTGTTCCACTTACATTGCAGTGTCTATATAATCTGTAATACTCCCTGCATGAATTATAATAAAGCTATTTACATGCATAAATCAAGCGGAACACTATGGCCATAGCCGTACTGCTCCACTTGTGGAGGCAAAATCTGTTGGGCTCTTTTTGGCATCAATACAATTATTCTTATTACGGCATTGCCAAACAAGACACTGTATAAAAAAAAAAAAAAAAAAAGCATAAGCATACAAAATACTACATTTTAGCAAAGATAATCACTCAAAAAGATGCTAAACTTCATGCATAAATCTGGAAAAGCAATTAAT